AGATCAAATCTTGGGGTTAAAACTGGAGGAAAACAGGCAGAGAAAACATTGAAAAATACAGTGACCAGCTAAACATCGGTTACATTGGACCAGTTTAATTTTACAATCAATCACAGACAGTGAACATATCAGGCCGAGTGTGTGTGCTGGCTCAGGATGGATGAACTCGCGGTGATCCCCCGCACGGCTGCCAGAGTCTAACTTGGGTCCGCTCTTATTCCTGAAGTCACACAATGGAGCCTAAAGGTCGCTCGGACTGACTCAGCACATAAATGGCAACGTAAACTTTCAATTACAAGCACGAAGGAGAAAAACCACCAAGATTGCAGCGCTGCGGTTTTTTTGTGTGACAGCAGCAGCGATGAAAATAAACTTAAAGAAAACACAAGCAGGGGGTGAAATATCTGGACACACACACACACACACACACACACACACACACACACACACACACACACTGGCTGGTTGAGGAACTGGTGCTGGCCACCAGGCGTTTTATCCAAGTCACCATCTGACCCCGTTTTCCCCCTCATTTCGCAAATCGGTGTCCTTATCATGCCAAAGACCTGCCTCTGAACCAGAAAACACACAAATAAGAGGAGGAGGGGGTGAGGGGGGGTGTGGAGGCAGAGAGGCTGAACTCTACCATGCAGTGGAAGGATTTATTTATTTATTTATTTTTAGTTCAGAGGAAAAGAATAAATAGATTTCATGGGACGGATTTAAAGAGATGAACATGAGTCTGTTTCAACATGTTTTCTTTCTGTCACTCAGAAACTCCAGTGAACAGATGAATATTCAGAGGAAACTACAGTAGAAGTTCATTTGAATTCTGCTCTAACTTCAGTAAAAACTGCAGCGATGATGAATTTCCGTTGTCGTCCAGTTTGATCTGATGTTGTCACCCCCCCCCCCCCCCCCCCTCATTATCAGTGACCTCAGGTTGACACAGAGCAAAATGAAAAGCGACACAGGGCTACTGAATCTGCAGGTCCCAATCAACCAATGGGAATAAAGAGATGAATACATGTAACTATGACTGTGACTGTTTTATCAGAGAGTGACCACGATTACTCCTCAACCTCAACCACAGATTTATTAATGTAACCACAACCACAGAGGGAGGTGCCTTTACCTTAACGAAGTAGTCGTTAATCCAATCACTGTTTCCCTAAAGTGATTTGTATGAGTTTGTGAAGGAATAGACGAATGATGTCGTCCTGTTAATAGAAAACTGTCCTGTTGATGTCACAGAGGCGACATCCATCTTTATTTATAGTCTATGATTGTAACCATGACAACAAAGATTGTCTAATCTTAAAGTAAGTACTTATTTTAACCCAAACCACTATCTTTTCCCAAATCTGACCAAGTCATGACCGTTTATTACTGTAACCATGGCAACTACGGTCAGCCATCAGGGCGCTATTTTAGGAGGCACTCCTGTGTGGTTGTTCAGGTTGGAGGACCGGTTGGTTAATGGCTTTTAATTTGGAGGAATGTTTGTAAACATCATCAATGTCTTTCCAAATGTAACATGATCTTCTTGGAGCCGTTTACATTGTGTTAGATTGCCCCCCCCCCCACCCCCCCACCCCTGTGTGGGACGACGTTGGGAGCCTGTAAGTCTGTTCATTGTTGCGTCAGTTGTATAATGCACAGTTATGACAGTTCGGTTGTGTTGTCCTGTGTTGTGTTGCGTCCCCTCTCTGGTTCCCATGCACCCTCCAATCAGCTGACCGGTCACTGACCTGCGCAGCCGGTGGCACTGGAGTGAACCCTGGTTCAAAACGTCGCCAAGTTCACACTGACTGAGCGTCCATCAGATAACGACCTTGGCAGCGCTACGGGGCCCAGCAGCGGACATAATTAGGCCAGGCTGTTTGTGTCCCATTAATTTTCTGCCACATAGCTTCACCCTATTCTCGGCCTGTCAATGAGGGCGGTCAGGTGGAGGGTGGTAATGCCTGATGACCTAAGCGGTGGTGACCACAGCGGTGACCTAAACTGTGACCCCGGTGGTGACCTAATCAGTGACCTCGGTGGTGACCTGATCAGTGACCTCGGTGGTGACCTCACCGTGAGTTTTTTTTTGTAATGAGGTCACGATATGAAGCGGGATTGTTTCAGTTTACAGTAAATAGTGTGGATTGTGTTGTAGCAGCGGCACTGTGATTGTCCACAGGAGTCCACTGTGTCGGAGCCGGATTCTGGACCAGTTCTGGATAAATTCAGTAACTACGGAAACATGTTTTGTTCCAAACGGCTACAGTTCTGGTTCTTGCCTCTGATTGGCTTCACCATAGTAACGGCTGCTGAGGCTGATTTCACCAAAACAAAGTTGAAATAATTAAACTGATGACCATAACATTACACTGAGGTTTTCATTGTTTAGATCAAACCAGCAGCTCGTCCAACTTCCTCAGTTATTTTAGAGCTTTTAATGGTCCAGGGTTATAATATAGGTTAAGGTCTTGTACAGAAATGCTTTAGATTAATTAGAATAACATTTAAACTTTATATCTGCATCCTTTTGTATGTGTTTAGTTTGAGTTTGCTTGAGATGGGTTTAACAAACTGAATGGGGGGAGGGGGGGGCAACTTATGTGGTCCTATGAAACTGGCTGTGTTTGAGGCTCTCTTGTGGGACATTTCATGCGCTCTTGGGGGCCCTCTGGTGGCAACGAGGACCTTAAGCAGGCGCTTAGTTCGCTTATTTGTCGGGCCAGCTCTCGGGGCCATTCGGAAGGATATGGGTTTGCCGTTGACGTTCATGGTGGATTTCAGAGTGAGGTCTGCAGCAGAGGTTTGAGTTTTAGATCAGTTGAGCAGATTATTATTATACCAGGTAACCTGTTTATATTTCACTGTTACTGGAGATAAGATCTACAGTACGATGGTGGTGTCGTCTGCATATTAACAAATGCTAACAGAGCTGCGATGATGTGAGCTTGATAGTGAACAGTGAGAAGGGCTGTGGACCCAGCATGCAGCCCTGAGGGATTCCAGTGCTGAGGGTCAAAGGGCAGGATGCAATGTTATTTACCTTTGACCCTTTGTTGCCTCGTCCACAGGAAGCTGCAGATCCGGCGACGGATGCAGGGGTCGATGGTCATGTCTGGCAGTTTATGAAAAAGTTTAATTTAAGCTTGAATATGGATATTATATTATGAATTTCTGGACATAAAGTATTATTTTGTATAATTACAAACATATTAATCGACCCTGTAGGAATGTTATCAGTCGTTTAGTTTGGTTAAACATTGAAAGCCTTCCTGTCTCTGTTGAAAATAAGATATGACAAACAGGCTGCTTTTGTTTCACCATCTTCTAATTTACTCTTTACATCATCTGTACAGCAGCTACATCAGATAGACTCAACGAAACAGGACAAATATATACAGACTCCTTAAAGTGGAGAAAGTGCTATCTCCTTCTACAAATTCCATCCGTACGTCAGATTTCACAGCGCGTCTATTAGGCTTCAAGACCAACACACAAACAGTCCTAGACTTAAGACCAATAATAACAATAATAATAACTTTACTCTCAATATTATGCTGCTCTAAACAACTAAGGTTCTCTATGTTCTAGCAGTGAAACAAGGTGTTATGGACAGTCCTTTACATTACAGGTTAGTGTCTCTATCTAATCATGATTACAGCAAATATTGTTACAGAGTAAAAGTACAACAGAAATGATACATCTGCATTTTAAATACAGCTTATTCATAATGCTACTTCATTTGATACACACATAATAGCACTGTTAAGGATATATATCACAGTCATATTTAAACAGTAGAATGTGTTTTGACATTGATGTTCGGGTACTTCCTGGTTGTGGGATTTCTGTGTCAAAATCAAGTGCAAGTTCCATCAGTGAAAGTGTTTTGTTTAGTTTTTTTGCAGCAGAGATCATTGCGAAACATCACGACTGAGATAAGTCCGAGTCGCTCCCGTGTCCGACGTGGGTTGCAGTGTTCAAACATTTCTCCGTTGCAGATATCGTCACTGCATTTCTGGCCTTAGTCAGTTTGTTAACGAGAAGTGTCACATTTTTTTTAAGACTCTTTTCCTCAGTGTTTCCACGGAGCTAAAGACGCCTTGCTCAGAGGACTGGAGAACGAAGGAATCGGTTTAAAAGTGTGTAAACCCTGTGATGTCAGTAGAAAATCAGGCTGCTTCTGCACAGTCACTGCAGGTGAGTTTCCCACGTCTCTGTCCCGGGACCCTGAAGAATCTGCCCGGTTGCAGTTTTTGTGGGTTTTCAAAGAGGCCGTCTGAGAATCCTAAAAGTTGGCTTGCTCATTCAGCGGAGTAAACACACATACAGAGCTACTTAGAGGTACAAAAGACAGAAGCACCAAAGATGAGTGGATTTAATCATCGAAAAACCACTTTGTAGTTTGTTGCTTGAGGTTTTTGTCCCGCGACATGAGGCACTTACTGTATGCAAGTCAAACCAGGCTTCTCCAGCTTCTCATTAAAAGTCCTGATTGCTCACTCTCACTGATGCACACTGATATTTCAATAAGTTAATGTGCATTTACAGACTACAACTGAACCTTAAGTAGCTGAAGGTTACGGACATTATTCGTTATGGAAATGAAGCTAAAGTTCTGAACAGTAACGTGTAGTTGAAGTGTGTGTGCAGTCCGTTCAGCGGGCACTTCAGCATGGATCTAAATAGGGAAGGAAAAGCCGACAGAGATTTACTTTTGCTGCAGGTGAAGAAACCCAAGTGGTTAAAAATGAACTTGTGTGACAACAGAAAGTGGTTTCGTAGGTTTGGACCAGACCACTGAAGAGACGATGAAGTGCTCCAGACTCGCAGAGTAAACTTCCTCTTCATCTCCATGGAAATGAAAGTGGGCGTGAGCAGCACCATCAGGACCAACAAGGTGGTTGTGTCTCCTCCTTTGGGTGTGGAGAGTTTTTTCCAGGAGCAGTTTGAAGGTTAAATCGCCCCTTGAGTTTTTGGAAAGTCTGAACTTGTATCTAAAGCGGGTGGTTGTAAGTGAAGTGCACGTGCAGCCCGTTCACCGGGTGCACAATCGGCACTGTCTGCATCTTGGGGAAGTTCTCTGTGGCCAGAGTCCATTTGCAAGTCCCGATCAGCTCCACGGTGAGAGTCTTTAGGATGATCTGTGCCAGTTCTTTCCCGACACAGCTCCGCACGCCGCCGCCGAACGGCACATAGCTGAACCGGGCCGACCTGCTCTCCTCTCGGTCCGGACCGAACCGATCCGGATCGAACAGCTCTGGACTCTGGAAGACCGCTGCCGTCTCATGGGTGTCCCGGATGCTGTACATGACACTCCAGCCTTTGGGGATCTGGTAACCCTGTGAAACCAAGATGGAGGTCAATAAAAATCAACACAGATTTTTTACCAACAAATAGTTTGGTGCATTTTTTGTTTTCAGATCTTTTAAAATCTCGACTCTTCATGGTTGTAAAATATGACACAGCTGTTGACTGTGACACACATAATGGCAGCAGTGGGAAGATGAAGATTCATTTTTGACATAAGTTAAAAAGCTAAATGATTTTTATTACTTGGAAAACCTTTTATTTGGTTTTTAACCTCATGTATTGATTGATTTCATTTCCTCCATTAATCCAGACTTCTTTATAATCTAATCCCACATATTTCTGCAGAGTTGGGATTTCCCTCTTGAGATTAAAGAAGATTCAATTGAACGAACATTTTCAATACTGCAATCACTTCTCAGCTGCAGGCGTTTACACCCTCTGCAAATGCTTTAAACTTCAATTGTCCTTTGGAAACAAACACAGCAAATTGGGGGCATGCCGAGGGCAGGGAGGGGGCATTTGAGGCCACACAACTCTGTATGAAAGTCTTTGTCTATCAAAGCGCTTCCAGGCGTGCAACATGACAAACAGATTAAATAGAATTTCATTAACTACAGATTTACTTTGCCTCTATAGCAACAAGAGTTAATGAAGAACTCACTAATCTGTGAAGCTGACAGGTTTTTGCTGAGAATAAACAAACAAACTTCTTAATTAGTGATGATCAGACTCCTGATTCACCACAAGGAGGCGCTGTGGAGTCATCCCCGCACCACATGTCCATGTAAACCTACAGGAAGGTAACAGTAGCACTGGCAGTTGAAGTCACCCCCTACAGGCAAAGACGCTTAAAGCTTCTGCAGTAAAACATGCGCCACCTGCAGGTAAAGAGCTTCACAGCTGCAGCTCTCTTAACATCACATTCTCACTGCAGTGACGAGGGACAGTACAGGACATTTTCACCAGATCATGGTTCATCTTCATCATCATCATCATCATCATCATATCTTCATCCCACCTGGTTGGATTTGGTTTCAGGGGATTCACACCATCATCATCTACTTCAGCTGGTGCATTCCTACATTTCCCAAACTGTCTCCTGGCAACTCCAAGAGAAGAGGTTGGAACTTGTTTCTTTGGGCTGTGGGGTTTTCAGGGTTTTTTTTTTGTTTTGTTTTTTTTCAGGAAAAGGTTGTTCTGTATTTAAAACAATAAAAGCCTTGTTGCTGCGCTGCAGTGTGATGTGATCTAAGACTCGTCTCTCAGAGATGTTTGTCGGAGCTGTTTTCTCTCACAGATTCATCCATTAAAGGTTGCTGGATGTTGGCGCCTTTAGATTTAAATTATTTTGCAGCTGATGGAAATGCGAACCCGCCCAAACCAACAGCCTGACTTGACTCGAACTTACGTCTAATTCAAACGTCTGCAGCGCCGTCCGGTAACCACCGGAGACCGGCGGCAGGAAGCGGAGCACCTCTTTGACCACGCAGTCGACGTAGCGGAGCTGACTCAGCTTGTCCAGGCTCAGGTACGGCACGTGAGACTGGGACGGCGGGAACCCGTCCTTGTCGCTGTGATTCTGACACCCTTCGCTCAGCAGGCAGGTCGTCTCCGTGACGACAGCGTCCACCTCCTTCTCCGTGGTGACGGCAGACGGGCTGTAACTGCTGCCGGACTCGGAGCCCAGGCCCTCGGCCTCCAGCTCGATCCTGGCCCGCTCCACCACCGCCGGGTGACGGAGGAGCTGCAGCACCAGCGACGTGGAGGCGCTGGCTGTGGTGGAGTGAGCGGCGAAGATCAGCTCTACTGCTGTTTCCTGCAAACAGGGAAATAGATGCATGGATGATGAAACTTCATCTTATTCTACTGGTTGGATTCATCTCTTCGTGTGTAGAACTATCAGAGTTTGTAGAAGAAACATGTTGTGCACCATCCAGCTGACTTTGGTGCACTTTGTGGGTTTCTGTTGAGCATAGACACATCTGTATCTAAAAACATCTGCCTGACGATCACCTGATGAAGGTGTGTGTTGACCTGGACATGAAGGTTTTTGGTTCTATCTACTACTGATGAGGCTCAACTCAAAGAGTCAGTCCGGTACCTTGAGCTCCTGGATGCTGAGCTGCTGGCCGTGCTCTTTGGCGCTGGACAGCATGTAGTCGAAGGCGTCGTGATACTCGTCCTCCGCCTGCTGCCGCTCCATCTTTTCCTCGATGATTTTCTCCATGTTGGCGTGCAAGATTTCTCTGGCTTTGATTCCCTGGACAGAGAAGAAGAGTTATTGATAAGAATCCATAATAAATATCAATATACATAAATTGACATCTTCTGCTTTGTCTTTAGTTTTTTTAAATTTATGTGTCTGCTGTCTCCATGTAGAATCACAATCCTGTCTCACCTTGCGAAGGCCGCTGAGCGGGGCGTCTATGGGCAGCGAGAAGAGGTTGTTCATCAGCTGCTCGAAGATCTGCGCCAGGTAAACAAGGCGCTCCTCCTCCAGCTGCAGACCCAGCAGAACCCTGACGGCGATGCGGAACGTCAGCGACCTGGCGGCGCTGTAAACGTCCACGGCGCCCGGCGTCGAGCACCACTTGGCGATTTCAGACTTGATGACGTCCTGCAGCCGGGGCAGGTAGGACTCCAGCGCCCCACGGCTAAACACTTTAGCCAGGATCTTGAAAGGGTTAAGGAAACAAAGAGAGAGGAGTCGTAAAAAGTTATTACCTGGTACACGGCAGTCAACACCTTTCAGGAGGACGGGGTGGGGTGGGGGTGGGGGGTGGAGGGGGGGCAGAGGTAAAGGATGTAGGAGATGTAGGAGATAAGACAGGACGGGGTGTAGGGGACACAATAGGACATGAGGTGGGAGGAAGGACAGACTGTAGAGGACTGGGTCTCTGAACTTAGTCACATTGAACTCTTTATATTTTGGGTTTGTACACAACTGTGATTTTCTGAGTGTTGCAATACCCACGATCCTTCACTGCTGTTGCTATGGCAAAGAAGCCAGAAGCACAAACAAAGTTACATAATTGGAATTGACAACCAAAAAAAAAAAAAGCACTCAGTCTAAATTCAGCTTCCCAAATGCATCATGGGAGTCGTAGTTGACTTTCATCTCATGTTTTTTTTAAATCAAAAGTCATTGAATCTTTGACTTTACATCCAAAAAGATTCAATGACAGTTTCAGTTCAGTTCAGTTCAGTTCAGTTCAGTCCAGTTCAGTTCAGTCCAGTTCAGTTTCAGTTCAGTTCAGTTCAGTTCAGTTCAGTTCAGTTCAGTTTCAGTTCAGTTCAGTTCAGTTCAGTTCAGTTCAGTTCAGTTCAGTTCAGTTCAGTTCAGTTCAGTTCAGTTCAGTTCAGTCTAGTTCAGTTCAGTTCAGTCCAGTTCAGTTTCAGTTCAGTTCAGTTCAGTTCAGTTTCAGTTCAGTTCAGTTCAGTTCAGTTTCAGTTCAGTTCAGTTCAGTTCAGTTCAGTTCAGTTCAGTTCAGTTCAGTTCAGTTCAGTTCAGTTCAGTTCAGTTCAGTGTGCATCAACATGCAGAATAAATCTTAATCAAACCAGCAGAAGAAAATGCCGTTGGTTTGTCAAGACTAACAGCTGATGGCACTAGTTTTCATTCAGGTTCATTAAACTGTTGCAGAAGGAGAGGATGCAACAACATGAGCGCATGATGATGAAATCTGACATTTGTGTTTGTCTCATGTATTAATGTGAGGAAGGTTAAAGTCTCTGAAGCTTCGTGTACGTCAGGATTTAATCACTAAGTCTCTGTCCTTTGAACTTCCCTCCTCAGCCAAGTGTTCAAAGTTTTTTAGCACTAAATCAATATGTTGATTTATTTTTCCACTCTGATTTTTTTATGTGCAAAATCATAATGTGCAAAAAAGAACCAAACAAACAGGTGGATCAGAAATAAATGAAATGAACACAAATCCTCCAGAAACAGAAGAAACATTTGCAGAAACTTGGACAGATAAAACTTTCCCTCCTTCCGTTCTTACCTTCCTCTTCCTCTTGTGCAGGTCCCCGATGGAGTTGACCAGGGTGTTGGGTCCCAGGATGATGCGGGTGCTCTGGGGCCACTGGGTGCAAACCAGGCTGTGCTCCCCCAGCAGGATCTTGCGGATGTTTTCTGCACCCGTCACCCGGATGACGGGCTTCCCGAGGAGGTGGGTCTTGAACACGTTGCCGTGGCGCTCTCTGCGTGAGATGTGGAAGTTGGAACCCTGGAGTGTGAGGAAGAGATTTGGATAACGAGTTGGTCAGAAACAAAATTTATAAGTTATTGCAAAAAATACATTTTATAAATTAGGCACAACATTTGAAAGTGCAAATTTTACTTCACTATTCAAATGTCTGTTTTTGTTCCAGCTCCTTTGCAGTTCAGCAGGAAATCTCAAAAACTCGTTCATAGATTTCAGGGACGTTTGTTGAAAAGTTTCATGGCTCAGAAACAAGGGGTCAGTCAGTGTTTTTGTACATTTTTTTCTATTTTCTGACCTAAAAATGACAAAAATCTTGAATTTCATAATTTGATTGATGTTTGATTGTTTGTTTAGATCCAGATTAAATTTCCATTTATTTTCTTTCATTAAAATGAAAAATCAGCAGCCTGAAATACTGCAGAGCGAGCGGAGTAAAGCTCCTCCAGTGTAAAGGTCTGTGTCCATGTGTAGTGTGATTATAGATCAGCTCTAGCTTCTATATTAATACTGTGAAAGTATCAAAGCCTCAGTCCACAGAGAAATGCACACAGCCTGTATTCAGAAACTGAGCCTTAAAACCAGCCGTCAGGACTTCTGGAACTTTGTGATGTCACAACAAAGCAGTCACCAAGCCCCGCCCACCTGGACCCACCATCCAAACCTTGCAGGATTTGGTTTCTCTGAGTGTTTTTACCTGAAATCTGCTTTATTTTTATTGGATCACTCAGAAAACAGTCAGCCAATCAGAAGAGAGGCTCAGAGCCTCCTCTCTTCTGATTGGCTCACCGACCTGTTGTTACTAGAGCTCCAGAGAGAAGCCTGAGAGAGGAGATGTAAAACTACACTGAGATGGTCCTTTAAACATTTAAATAAAAATAATATGAACTCAAGGTCCTCTTACTGGACCTTTCAACTGCACCCGTGAGTTCAATTTGCTCAGTTGTCATAGAGACGTCTTCAACAGTGAGATGCGGTTGAAAGGTCAGGAAACAGTAAGTGGACCTTGGTTTTGAACGCATGTGATAAATGTTTAAGTAGTTAAGGAGTTAAAACATTTGATTTATTCATAGATTCATCTATATTTTCTCTGCAGATTCTTTTCCAACACAATAATTAAAACTGGAGGAAATGTTGAATCCTCTGGTTCATGGTTTTAACTACAAATATATCTTCTTATGGATCAGAACTTCAAAATAAAACACCGGAAAGGCGTCAAATATGGGACCTTTACTGATTTTGAAATCACAAATAGGTGTAGTCTACTGTGTGGATGTCCACATACTTTTGGCCATGTTTTCAAGTTACAGCCTCTTTATTGTCCTTCATCTGTTACGCCCACTCTCACGAGCGCGTGTGGAGATGGTGTCCGGCCGGAGTGAAGCATTTTCGGGCGTTAAAAAGACGGTGGCGACGCGGCGCTTCGAGCTCCGGTGAGGAGCCGGTGAATCAGTTGGAGAGACGCGGGGAGAGATGAAGAGATGAGGGGGGACTACATTCCTCCCCAGCGGAGGGAGAGAGGGGGGAGGGAGGGAGAACGAGGAGGAAGAATTGAACAGAAAACGTCTGTTTTTGCTCGGAGAGGAGGAATTAGCACCGAGCATCAAGTCCGCACATGTCGCATCAACAACAGAACTCAGCCTGCACAAGAATCTGCGGAGCTGCTCAAAGCTTCCCGCGCACCTCCACATGCATCATCAATAATGTGATTATTAAAACACCCTGCAGCCCTGCGCAGTCTCCTGCAGAGAGGCGGTAAAGTCAGGTAGTAACACAGAGAGAGAGAGAGAGAGAGAGAGATGAGCATAAATAAGGAACCACACACATTGAGACAAACGCGCGCGCGCAGGAGGGTAACCTGTGTTTTGGAACGCTTGTAAAAAAAAAGAAAAAAGAAAAAGTACGGCAGCCCAGACGTGTCATGTCTCCCTCTCTCACCTGGAACAGCCAGTGGAAGGTCTCTCCGACCAGCGGCCAGCCCATGGAGCCCCTCGGCAGCGGCAGGCTGCTCTCTTTGTCCCGGGTCAGGCTCCAGCGGAGGCTCCACAGCTGCCGGGTCAGCGCCAGCAGCAGGAGCGCGGACAGCACCGAGGTGAGCGCGGTGGCCAGGGCCGACAGCACCCCGAACTGAGCCAGGGGGGGGAACATCTCCTCCGAACCGGTCCGCTTCCCAGCATCCACCTGTGTCTGTCCCTGAAGGCGCGTCTCTGTGTCCCGTTTGAAACTCTTGCGCGTAAAGTGTCTGTCCTCTTCTTCTTCTTCTCCTCCTCCGGCCTCTCTGTCTTCTTCTCCTCTGTAAACTCTGTCCAAATGAAATACAAATAAAGGTCCGTTAGTTCCGTGTGAGCGTGTTCACCCTCAGCTGCCCCTGAAGAGGATGTAGAGTCTGGAGCTGCTGCTCTCAGGCCTCATTCATTCACACGCATTCATATGATGAAGCAGCGGGTTCATATTCTGATCTGATTCTATTATAATTATTATTAATATTATTCCTCTTATTCTCCTGCTCCACATCAGAGACAATCATCTTATTTTTTAATTTTTTTTTTTTTTTTTTTTTTAATTTTTCTCAAAACAAACTGAAGATTTTCTCTTTTTTTCAGCCTGTAATTATTTTCTGTGTTGGAGATTAAAAACCAGACACGAGACCGGATGGATGCGCCTGCACAGACTCAGATCCGCCCGTGGAAGAAGAAGAAGAAGAAGAAGGAGAAGAAGAAGAAGGAGAAGGAGTAGAAGGAGAAACGTGCTGCTGCGCCGTGAGGAAACTCCCCTTCATTCCGCGGCTCCTCCAACATGAGGAGTAGCTGTCAACTATTCCAAATAGTTTTACAGGTTTACGTGCGCCGGCTTGTCTATTAGGTTATGCGCCTTTATAGGTACAGTTCAGGGGGCTCAGTCACCCACCCATCCACCCCTCACCTCACTCACCCCCCCGGGCTGCCCGAGGTTTACAGAGCAATGGTAATAAATCAGGTAAGAAAAGAGAAAAAGAAGAAGAAAGGGGGATTTGAATACAGTGAGGAGCGGATTCACGGGGAAGTGAAGTGGAGGTGAGATGAGAGGAAGCGACTGGAAAAGGAGAATAAACGATTCTCATGATGAAATTAGAGCAGAGGGAATAAACTCAGAGACCCGGAGCAACACTCACCTCCGACCAGCCTCCGTCCCTCCGTCCCTCCATCCCTCCGTCTGCTGCTGCTGCTGCTGCTGCTGCTCAGAGGAACCCGCTCAGCCTTAAAGGAAAGTTCCTCTCTCGCCTCCTCCGACTGAACCGGTGACTATTCCTCTGCAGAGAGCGGGCTGCTGCGGGGGGGCGGGGGGGTTTATAGAAAAGGCTGCACGGCATGGTCCGCCGTCAGAGGATGACGTGGGTCTGAATATGTTAAAGAGGCTCGTTCATTCTCACCGCGCGGACCCGGGAGAGAGAGAGAGAGAGAGAGAGAGAGAATTAAACAACAACAACAACAAAAAAGTTTGGAGATCAGAGCAGAGACGCGGCGGTGCGCTCAGAGAGAGAGAGAGAGCGAGACTGAGCGCAGGAGAGAGAGAGAGTGTGTGTGTGTGTGTGTGTGGGGGGGGGGGTCAGACGGCAGCGCATGGAGGAAACTCGCAGGTAGCCAATCAGCCGCTCAGAGTCTGACGCAGGTCTGAGCTGCTGATATTTAAAAAATATTATTTTATTTACTTTGTTGAATCATAACAGAGACGCGTTTTATTATTAAAGTTTAGATTCATTTAATCAAAGTTTTATTATATATTAAAATTTAAAAAACAAACCAAACCGCGGAGAGTGAAATTTAATCGGTAGAAAAAGGTGGAGTTGCTATAAAGGAACTATTTATTATTATTATTATTATTATTATTATTATTATTATTATTATTATTATTATTATTATTATTATTATTGAATGCATCTGGAGACAGTTTTGTTCTCCAGAGAGGAAGTTATATTTGAACCCGGACAGGCTCCGTCAGGATGAGGTGGTCGTTTCGCTCAGAGGCCCAGATTTTAGATTTCAGTCCGTCTGCGCGTAAAAACCAGAGTCAGAGTTCTCCTCTGGTCTGCGGCCGTATTCAGAGGAAGAGTATTTTTTACATTGTCTGACATAATAATATAAATACTACCAATAATAATAATCATAATACTGAAATGCGGGGGGGTTCTGATGGAGATGAATTGGTTCATCTGATCGTTGAGGGTCAGTTCTTGTGAATTTTGTTATTTTGAGGTTGAAACAAGAAAATGAAACTTAATGTTCAACACTTCATTTGTTGTGATTATTTTTCCGGTTAATTAAAGTGGAGATTTGGTCATTAGAGGTGGATTTGTAAATTCGGACCAATTCCAGACGCCTGTGTACACACACACACACACACATAAACACACTCACACACACACATAAACACGCACACACACACTCACGCACACACACACGCGCACACACCTCCAGCTGTTATCGGAGGGTTTGTGTGTTAATGACCGAGCAGCCTGATGGAAACACGGACACACTGTTGGTTTTCACACCTTCGATTAACGCGATTATTCCTGGAGAAGTTCTGCCTCCTTCGATTATTGATTAAAGTCAAATCAGTGACGCAGAAACGCTGCGTCATCACAGTGTAATAAAAAAAACAAACACTTAACACCAGGTTCCGCTGTAAAATCTCAGAACTGCTTTATAAAATAAATCTTACACTGAATCCAGTTTCTAATGAGACTCTTCGACAAACTCATTTATAAATGATTTTTAATTTATAATAGTTTTTAAGAGTTTTTGTTTCTTTGTTTCTTCTTGTAAAAAGTTAATAATGAAAAAGTTCCAAATCATATTCACAGAAACACAAACACAATCATCATCATAATAATGATTCCTGTCAGAGGCCGCACAACGTTTGATTCACTCTGTTACGGAAAAATAATCTCTCATAAGATTAATGCAAATGTATAATTATAATAATTATTATTATTAAGGGGTAGGAATACATTTTCCTTTTTTAAATTAAATTATTTTATTGAATATTTGTTCATGTCTCCCTGTGAAGCTGTAGCTGACATTAGTTTTAGCTCTGTTGTTTTATAAATGCACAAATTATGTTTTATAGATTAATTAAAGCTCCTGCATTTCCGCTGTGTATAGGATCTATACAGAATATATATATATATATATATTAGTTTCATACAGAACTCTGGATCTTAGTGAATCAAGTACTTGAACCAGAAAAACTGTAGATTAATATTTGTTCATTTATTTGTATTTTTCCATTTTCTCTTCCTTCATCTACATGAAGCTTTCAGTTTTTGATTTAAATTTTTTACATTCAGGTATCAGGTGAAAAAAACAGATGAATATTTATATTTATATTATTTATCATATTTTTGTTTGTTTTGTATGTTTTATTCGGCCTAAATGTAATTTTAGACACGTGTAGATACGTTGGTTTTTAAAGCTCCATATTTTCTTCTTCTGTGTTTTATTGGAAGTGTTGATCCATTAGAAGATATAAAAACCATCTCAGTGTAGTTTCACATCTCCTCTCTCAGGCTTCTCTCTGGAGCTCTAGTAACAACAGGTCAGTGAGCCAATCAGAAGAGAGGAGGCTCTGAGTCTCTCTTCTGAGTGATCCAATAAAAATAAAGCAGATTTCAGGTAAAAACACCAAATCCTGCAAGGTTTGGATGGTGGGTCCAGGTGGGCGGGGCTTGGTGACTGCTTTGTTGTGACATCACAAAGTTCCAGAAGTCCTGACGGCTGGTTTTAAGGCTCAGTTTCTGAATACAGGCTGTGTGCATTTCTCTGTGGACTGAGGCTTTGATACTTTCACAGTATTAATATAGAAGCTAGAGCTGATCTATAATCACACTACACATGGACACAGACCTTTACACTGGAGGAGCTTTAACTAGAAGCTAAAAGCCTCATATCTGTGTCTCAGAATGAGCTCATGGTGTGAATCTTCTGAACTTTAAAGCTCGTAAAACCATAAATGAAACTTTAACATCAACAAAAAAAACTTCCACCTCAGAAAACTGATCCTAAACCAGCAGCAACTTCTTCATACAGTTGTATAGTGATCACCACCAGAACATACACCGGTATGACTCAGATCATTTTCCCTCCTCCATCCTCCTCCCTCTCTGTGTTCCCGCCTGTCAGCCTCCATCATTGATAACAGCAGCAGGGAGGTTTTCAGACTGGAAGAGCAGCGTGACATCAGGTAGTTCGGGGGAATCTCAAGAGTGTTGATTTAAAAGGGAAACTCTTATTTTACATCAGTCACAATTTAAACACACAAATAACTGAATTAAAGAGAAGCGTGAGGAGGAAAGCTAAAGGCCGTCAGCATGAGTGTCAGAACATTTCCGCAGGTTAATCTTCACACTGAGTCAAAATAAATAGAAAACAAGTTTGAAAATGAACCTAGAAACTAACGTAATGATATAAATGATATAAAACACTCTGCGGTGATGTAGAGTCTCACTATCTGAACTAAGATGCAGGAAAACACAGACACACCTCCTAAGATTCATTTCCTGTCCCGTTGTCCCGTCACACCAGCAGCTCTGCTCCGGACACTTCCACTAATCCTAATCCTGAGCTTTTAAAAGCTTCTGTAATGGAGATCTTCCTCCTGCGGAGCCTCAGGCGGCGTCATCCACCGCTGCAGGTTTCATTCTCCACGTCACATCGTCACATCATCCCATCATCCCATCATCCCATCGTCACGACGACCAGACGACACAGAACCAAAATCAATCAGATCTGATTAATTTCACCTCAAAACGGAGATGTTGGAGAGCAGAGGTGATGCTTTCAACACCTGTGTGTGTGTGTGCGTGTGTGCGTGTGTGTGTGTGTGTGTGTGTGTGTGTGTGTGCGTGCGCAGGCCTCAGGGCTGATGCCCAGAGTTGAAAGGTTAAGCCTGACTTTAAAGCTGAGCCCTCACTGATCCTCCATCTCGGCTCAGATCTTCAGTTTTCATCACAGCTGAAGAATTTAAACTTCGCTCAGGAACCAACAACATCAGGATCCTTCTATAATCCAGCTGCTGCCCAAACACACACACCGTCAAAACCAAGCTGAACTCCCGCACACACACACACACACACACACACACCAGCCATCTGTGCAGCTGTTTGCAGGTTA